GAGCCCGTAGGTGACATAAAGGAGCCCTGGTGCTGCGTTTAGGAGCTCAGCTGCTAATCATAAGTCAGCAGTTTGAATCCCACTCCACAGGAGAAAGATGTGGCCGTCTGCTTCCGTGAAGATTACAGCCTTGGAAACACTATGGGGCAGTTCTGCTCTCTCCTATAGGGTCACTCTGAGTTGGAATTGACTCAACAGCAGTAAGTTTTTGGTTTTGGGGTGACATAAACAGTTAAGCACTTGACTATTAGTTGAAATGTTAGTTTGAACTCACCCAGAGGCTCCTGAGAAGAAAGGGCCTGGCAACCTGCTTCTGAAAGGTCACAGCCTTAAAAACCCTATAGAGTACAATTCTAGTTTGAAACATACGACGTCTCCACAAGTTGGAGTTGACTTAATGGCAACTGTTTTTGGGTTTTTTTAGTGTTTTATGTCCTGTGTAATTCCAACCTTTGATATTTTTATGTAAAATAATCATCTAGAAGAAACTGAGACAAAAACACTTTCTATTGCACCTCTAGGTGCAAGCTACATTCAGATTGTTTGCACTTCAAGGAATTAGGCACAACTGAAATTTATCCTGAGTATCCATCAATTTCCAAAGAGAAACCATTTCAGCCACCACTCTTTTAAAAAGTCTTATTTCCACTCTGGTTAGCAGATTAGACTGGCAGATCTTGCCAGCCACACCTTAAGTTATAGTCAAAGCCAGATGACATTCTGGCACTAGCAGTACCATAAAGCAATGTATTACTATTTTTGTGATTGTGACAAAATTAACTAGAAGCACAGATATTCAAAATTCTGTAGAACAGAATATGGCAACTCTCCCTACTCACCACCCTTTTTCTCCTCCTGTGGACTCCAAAGAGTGTGTTCCAGTCAGTCACCACCAACTACTCTCCCCACATCTCTCCTTGATCCAATTGGGAGAAGAACATTCTAATCCCTCCATCCCACCATCCCACCATTCAATACTTGAAAAACATCCTTGATACTTCATTCATTTTATTCTTTCAACAGATTTATTGAGCACCTACTATGTGCCAGGCACTGTATTAGGCATTGGAAATACAAAGTTGAACAATGACAAATGATGAAACAGTTCCTGTCCTGATGGAGTTTACAATCTAGTGGGTCTCCCAGTAATCAAACAAATACATATAAAATTACAATGGTGTTAAATGTTAAGGAGGAGAAGTATGTGATCATGTGAAAATGCCTAATAGGGGGTTTTAACTCTGTCAGAAAAATTGGGGAATGCTTCCCTGAGGGAGTAATGAATAAGTTTAGATGACAATGAGGAAGGAAAAGTATTTCAAGCCAAAGGAACAGCATGAACAATGGTTCTATGGGGGAAGAAACAAGGAAGTCCTCACTTATTTCTGATAGAGAAAGAAGAGCAATGAAGGTAGAACACAAAGAAAGTAAAACATGGTGCAAAATGAGCCTAAGTGGTAATAATAAAAGTTAAACCTCTAGTGGGTGCTTTAATAGTGATATGCCACTGTTTTAATCTTTTGAGACATTAATTCATTTAATGCTCAGAACTACTGTATAAAGTAGGTATTCACCCTACCATATGTGACTTCAGAGGTTATATAAAATATTTTTATTATAAAAGCAATGAAAAGCCACTGAAGTGCTTTAAGGTAAGAGTGAGAGTGGGGGTAAGTGGGTTAGCTCGATTGAAATTGCACTTTGCAAAAGATCATTCTGCCTGCACTATAAAGAAAAGCCCAAGGAGGGCCAGACAAGCTGCAGAAAGACCATTTAAGAGACAACTGCAGTAATGCAGGCAAAAGGTGCTGGAGGCAGGTTAGAGTAGACAGGTGATAAGAAGTTGAGAAATCTGAGATATATTTACATGGTAAAATGACAGGACTTGGTAATGGATTGGTTATGGGGAGGAGGAAGGTGTCTATGTTAGCTTGGGAGCCAGAATGAATTCACTGAGATAGAAAGGATGAGTTGATTAGACTGGACGTTAATAAAAACTTATCAAAGAAGACATTAACATTCTTGCATTAACAAACACTGAATAACAGCAACAATACACATTTAAAAAAAAAAAAAAAACAGAAGAGTTTCTGGTTAATTTTTCCACATACATTTGCCTGCAATTGTGCAAAGCCATTCTCATATGGCTTTCATTAAAAAGTGCCTCATCACAACTGGTGGCACATGGTGGTCTTCTGAACTCCTAGGATGAGAAAACAGAACAAAAAGAGATACCAAAAACATGTTTTTGGCAGTATATGAAATCAAAAAGCAAACCATGATTTCCATTTCCCGCTGATCATTAACATTGTCTCTGCTAAGAGATTTAACAAAGAAAATTTCAAGATGTGGTAACTTTATTTACTTCTAATATGTGGCCATTTTTTTTAAAAAAACCCTGATAAGTTTAAGACAAGTTTATTCCTGTATTTCTTATATTGCTAAAAATTTGGAGTTAACTTAAGCAAAAAGTGTCCTCCCATTTCTTAAGTGTTTGAATAATACACATGCATGCTAATGCACATATACACACACAGTATTAAATTATATTCATCCTTAAAAGAAAAACATTATATGAATTCTTCCAAAAAAAAAAAAAAATCTGTGACATTATGACTGAGCTAAAATAAGTGCATATAACTGGGTTTTAAGTCAAAAGAACGGATCACTAATTGTGATTTGGATTTTAATCAAGTCACTTGTCCTTTCTGAGTCTAAGGGTAAATTTTTGTTGTTGTTTATTTGTTTTAACTTTTAAGCTGTGCTTAATACCTGCCTCCTAGGTTTGTTATGGGAGCTCTGGTGGCACAGTGCCTAAGGCATATGACTGCTAACCAGAAGGCTGGAGGTTCAAACCCACCAGCCACTTCTCAGAAGGAAGGTTGGGCAATCTACTTTCATAGTGATACCGCCTCAGAAACCCAAGGAGGGGTCGCTATGAGTCGGATCCGACTCGACAGCAGTGAGTAGTTAGTTAGGTTTGTTATGGAAATTATGAGATATTGTTTTTGGAAGTTCTTTAGGAATTTTAATTCCCTATAAAAATAGTATTCCTTATAAATAAAAAAAATCCAACAAAGCATACAGAATGCTCAGATCCATATTACACATCCCCTCTACTATATTTATATTTTTGTTGGGAACGTCAAATATGTTTAAAAGGAGTAAGGAAAACATTCAATTTCTGTAACAATGAACAATTATAATAATCCATAGATCAAACTGAAATTTATATAGAGCAAATAGATCAATCTTGAGAAATAGAGTCAGTCTGAAGAAGTTAATGTCCCTTCAATCCCACTTTTCCATAATAGAGACCGGATCTGTTAAATACATATGTACAAGTCAAAGATACTCTTCGAAGGGCATAAGCTACACATTTTGAATCTTTAATTAGACTTTTGCATTTAAACTAAGGCAATTATATAGTTCTAGATGGACATGGTTTACTTAAAAAAAAAAAAAAAAGTAAAATATTAACAATTTGTCCTTTGCTGTATCGCCAGCTCCCAAAAAGGTACCTGTTTTCCTAAGTAATGTCAATGAAAATGGATATTATAGAATGGGCAAAAAAAGGGCCAGTATTATTTTAAATAAAATTAAAATCATTCCAACACTTAATATAAATTAAATATGTATTTCCCCACAAACTCAGATACAGAGATGGCTATTGTAAGTCATGCCAAACAAGCAAAGCACCAGAAAGTGTCTCAATGGCTTAGAATTTTCAAGTATCTTAATGAAATGAGTATCTATTTCATGTTCTATCTTGGATATATTTATGTTTAAGGATGTGAATTTTAAAACAGATCCCACTTATTTAATCTATCAGAAATATATTTTAAACCTTTAAAAGCCTATTACTTTAATACTCATGTACTTTTATTTCATAATACATGATTGAGATTCTCTCATGTTAATTCCAACTTTAACAAGCCCTGGAAAATAGAATTTAAATTTTACCAGTTATTCCTATTATAGAAGATTGTACAAGTCACATAGAACATTAACAAAGCTAGCTTTATAAATTCAGTATGTGCACTCACCTACAAGAATGGTATGAAATTGCTTTATGTGTGTGAAAAGAAAATTCCAAAAATATTTCCCTCTTTAAGGAGGCAAGATAAAAGCAAAGAAATAATATCAATAGTACTAATTAAAATTTATATAGTAACAAATGCTGCCAAATTTAGCAGGATAGTAAATATACTCTATTATGTTTAATAGTAAATCTTTAAAGGAATGTATAAGTAATATATTTTAAATCACCTGGCCATATACTCTAAAATTTTGCTTTTTTACACTTTGTGCTTTTTATTTTTACATTTGTACCATTTTCATGTTGAAAATTATAGCTTCAACTTTAATAGCTTACCCATGATTTAAAATGATTTTTTTTTCACATTTTCAAGTTACTTCATAAATTCAGCAGGGTGATGATTTTCCCAACTGTTCAAAACCTAGTAATTTATATAGTTTATTAATTTGATTGATCTTTTTACAGTAATTAAATAGATTTAAGTACATTATTTTAATAACATTTAAAATGTAATCTTCCTTTTATTTTACATTAGCCCTAAAAGCATTTGAATCTTTGTCAATAATAGTAACTTATTAACAAATAGTGAGAAATAAATTCAGCCATCTGTGCAGACACAATAGTTTCTTTTTAAAAAATGCCTACAATGGTATCAAAATTAAGAAATGACATCTTTTTTTCACTAGGCATGTAATTTTTTCTTACAGTATATGTTGACTTCCCAGGTCACACCAGTTCAAAAGAGAATTAAACCTTAAAAAACACAACCACCAAAGGAGTGTAATGCTTGTACCTAATACTTTTTAAACTGGCTTTGGAATAGTCATTACTTTACCACATTCCATTTCATTTTATTGTCTTTTCATGAAAAGGAAAGTCTTCCATTAACTGGTGACACCCATGGTATAAATATAACCTTCCTCCTCCAGAGCTGTAATTTGAGTTCTGACTGCCATTCCTGCTATTCAGCTGTCATCCTCTTCATATCATGAAGAAGGGCATCTTTTTCCAAGTGAGCCTCTGCAAGAGCCATTTTAGCTTTAGCCAGTTCCTGTTTAAGAAATTCATTCTCTTCCATGAGCTGAAATAAGAAATTTGGAAAGTAAGAGAATTTAATCATTTTAGAATATATTTATAGGTTAGTTATATGGTATCCAAAAGTATGACGCTTGAGATAATAAAAATACCCAGTGTTAGGGAGGGTGGAATTAAACTGAAAACTGCTCTAGGAAGCTATGTGGAAATATGTAAGACCATAAAAACGTTCAGAAGCTGTGATCCAGCAATTCAAAACAATAATTAACTCCTAATTTCCAATCTAATCGTGTGTCTGATTTTACTCTCCCTGGACATCTGCTGTTTGGGACACTGCTGACCTCGCCCCTGCTTCCTAGGGCTCTCTTCTTCATGGTTTTCATGTTTTACCCGTTCTGCCCATGGCCTCTTCATCTTTTCTTCTGCTGGCTCCACCTTGTCTAAACACATTTACATTCCAGTACTCTTTCAGATTACATAATTGATCATGTTCTCCAACTACGTTATAGAGTCTCGTCTAGTACAAACCATTCTGCTGAACTGCAGATTCACATTCTGAATCTCCCCTCATGTCTGGCCTCACAAGGATAGGCCTTGGGCTACTGATGGTGATTTTATCTTCCTCTTGTGGGGTCAGAGGAGGTCAGAAGATGATGCAGCCTCCCTGCCCCTTTGGCAGAAACCCTACAGGACAGAGTAGAACTGCCCCATATGGTTTCCAAGGCTGTGAATCTTTACTGAAGCAGATCGCCTCATCTCCATCCTGTTGAGTGGCACGTGAGCTTGAACTGCCAACTTCTGGTTAGTAGCCAAGCTATTTAACCACTGTTCCCTTAGGAAGTATTAAAGTTACCCTCTTCCTTTTAAACTCTTTCCACAAATGTTCTGAAATATTATAATACTTAAATATAAGACTTCAAACTGAACAGATCTCTAGAAAGCCTCCTTATTTCCCACACACTGGATTAGACCCTCCTGCTCTCCTCCTCTCATAGTCACCATATTTAGTATTTTCCCACATCCTCTATGAAGGCTGAGAATGTCCCTTCTTGTTCAGCATTATATCTAGCACCATTCCTGTGCACATAGCAGTTGCTCGATAAACATTATTTAAATAAGTGAATAATATTTTAACTGTTTTTTATCTTGATAATTATTTTAATTGCTAAACTGAGTAAGACTGAACTTGTTTTTCCATTACCTGTTCCTGAGAAGGCCAAGGAACCTCTGGACTTGTCTGAGTGGCCTGAGTGACACTGTGGCGTTTCTCCAGATCATACTTTCCATGTGTCAGCGGCACTGAATCACTTTGGGCATTTTCTTTCAAATCACTTCTAGTGTGAAACATCTGAGAATCTGAGCAAACAAAATGTTTCGATATTGACTCCCAAATATTTGATAAATCTTTTTATTGAGCTTTATTTTGGAAAATTAATTTTAAAATGAGTAATACTGCTATTAATATATGCACAGTAATATGACACAGGCAATGCTAACTCTGATTATTGGTAACAGCTGCCTGAAAAAAGTGAGCTGTATGTGATAACTTAAGTGACAGCTATCAGGTACTCAAAAAGAAGAAATGGAAATCTAGTGGTGTGAATTTGTCATGCCCAATAAAAGAAGGTGAAAAACCTACAAAAATGGCATTTAGTATTCTCAATTTTAAAATTACATATTTTAATGAATGTAAAATTAATGCAAGTACAGCAAAGGAACCTAGAAAATACAGAAAAACAAAGTAAGTATGAAGATTATTTATAATTAGAAAGCACTGTTTTTAAAACTAGAAGGAGTGTAATTAAATTATGGTACATATTAGAATATTATACAACTAATCTTACATTGGGAGCTCTAGTAGCATAGTGCCTAAGGCACTTGACTGCTAAGCAGAAGGCTGGCGGTTCAAACCCATCAGCCACTCCTCGGTAGGAAGATGGGGCAATCTACTTCCGTAGTGATGCTGCCTCGGAAATCCAAGGAGGGGTCGCTATGAGTCGGGTCCGACTTGAGGGCACATAACAACAACAACAACAACCATCT